AAAAAAAAAAAAAAAAAAAAAAAAAAAAAAAAAAAAAAAAAAAAAAAAAAAAAAAAAAAAAAAAAAAAAAAAAATGACGTGTCACGTGACACATAATATATCACATGATGAAGTTTATTTATTTTTCGACATTTATAGTAAAAATTGACTATCAGAATGCATTAAAGTTTGCTTGTGAAGAAACCCATACAGTTAAAGTTTTGTATAATCATTTTCGTCAGCATCCGCGATGATGATGATGATGGTGGTGGTGGTGAGGATGATGCCCGAATGGAGGGAAACCATGATGATGATTATGATGATGATTATGATGATGACCCGCCATATCTCCAAGCAAAAAACCCAAAGCACCTCCACCCAAACCTATAGCAGCAGCACCAAGCATGCTCTTTTTATTACTAGAACTGGTTGCACTATCTTGGGTTGATGACGATTTTCCCCCTGGGACGGCCGATGAATAAGATGTAGCTTCGCCCGGATACGGGCTTGGAGGGTATGGTGAATATGCGGTTCCAGGATATGGAGGTGGTAAGTTATTATTATACCCGCTGGGATAAGGTTCGGGTGGTGGTCCCGGAGGTGGTGGTAGAGGTCCAGCAGGATGATGCCATTGAGAAACACCAGTACTTGTATCTATCAAAGTTATGCAAAAAATGTCATTTATTCATTCTATTGCTTGATTAATTATTACACACTTAACCAGTTCGATACACACCAACATAGTAATATGATCGAGTATTTGGGTCGTATTGAGTTATCCATCCTGTTGGCAAAGGTCTTGGGTCCATTTCTATTTTATATAGTGTAAGCGTTTAAATGAAAAAAAGTTCGTTAAAATTCATGTAAAAGTTGGTTATATATATTCTTGAAAAATGATGTGGCTTAGAATTCCTTGGAATGTTCGAATTGTGTCTATTTATATATTACGAACTAAAAATCTTGGCGTAAAAACACAAGATATTTTCCGATTACATTATTCAAGTGTACGTAATCACGGAAAATAAAGTTCCATAAATGACGTAAAATTCTGCTGAATTGTCAATTCGGACGTATTTATCACGTGATCGTAACTGGGCTGCATATACCCACGACAAGTAGAGCTTAAGTTGCTATTTTTGTTCGCAGCACCAATAACTATTCAGGGGAACAAAAATAGAAACCCTAATAGTTTCCTTGTTTATTTACAAAAACTCGATTATATCTAGCTAGTTCTATTGTAACTAAAATTTAAGTAATATAATAATATAGTTTAAGAAGAAAAAAAACTTTTTTACTAATCCCCTTTTCCTTAAAATTTCCTTTTTTAGTAATTTCTTGGAAAAGCGAAGTCAGCTTAAAAACATTTTTCTTCAAAATCTAAGACTTAATAATAAACTATAATATTCAGCTACTTTTTAAAGATCTTTTTATTAATCAAAAGAAGTGTAAACAGTATAGTATCATTTTAGTTTTACTTTATAAGAAAAAAATATATTTATAATAAACTTAAGAAAGTTTAATATTAACTTCTCAAGTTTCTAAAAACTCTTTCTGAAGATTTTCTGATCACATATAAAAAAGATGTTCGCAAGAAGTTTTTATACTTTCTTATTAATAAGTCTTAATACTTTTCTTAAAATAACTTAAAGTATGACTTCAAGAATTACTTTTACTTTTTCCTTATTATTTACAAATCTCTTCACTCAAAAACTTGATTCCTAGTGATCAAAAAAAGTCAAGCAACACCTTTGATATCAATGGCAAGAAAGTTTCCAAAGGAAGAAGAATTGACTTTAAAGTACCTGAAGACCTATTTAATCTTTGAAGCAAGAGATATATAGAGATTTTTAATAACAGAAAAACTTATTTTTCTTCTTCTAATCACTTATGAGCCTCTTAGAGCTATCATTTTCATGATTTTCTGAGGAATTTTGCCTACTTCAGTTTGACCCTGAATTTTTGATAGCACAAATCCTCACCAAAGATAATTGGCTGACACAAAACATATTAGTTTTTAAAATATAAATAAGCTTCTATTGGTCATACTCACGTGTCTCGATATATCATTGGTAATATAGGAAAGAAAGTTCTAGAAAAAGTGTTCCCTCCAATCATGTATATTTTACCTCTAGAAAACAATTATAATATCAAAAAGTGAGTGACAGGTATGAAAAGAAGATTCAACTCCCATCTCTTATAAAGTTTCTCAGGTGATAAAAAGACCTTCTTAAACAAAAACTGAGGTTTTCAAGCTTCTATCCCAATCAGGCAAAGTTCTTGAAAAGATTTTTTTATCCCAGTCAAGCAAACTCTTCTATAATATAGTGCTGGCTTCACTAGTGATAAGTGAATTCATATATTAGCAAAAGAATAAATTTCTTAAACATTTTTCTTGAAGTCACTTTCAGGAATAGCTAAGTTTCTCAAATATCATGAAGCTTAGAGAATATTCAATCAGGCAAACTTCTTTTGAAAGGAAACTATGAAATAGAACAAGAATCTTTTGGAGGATTTTGATTTGCATTTTCCCTTCTTTTTTTTTCAGTACAACTTTAGCAATTCATTATTTTTCAGAATAATCAACAAGTACAACCTGTTGGCAATGTCCCTGATTGACTTAGAGGCATTATTGCCAAGCTATTAAAAAAGTGAAATATTGTTTCCTAAATCTGACTTAAAGTACCTAGTTTAGACTTAGTTTTGTTTAGTCTGAACTAGTTTAGTGGACTTCTTATATTTTTTAAGTAGTGTAGTCCTTTAATTAATAATATATAATAACAAGTTGGTCACTTTGTAAAAGTCTGTAAAATATTTAGGTATTTTTCAATATTTCAATAAAGATATGCTATTGTGACATGATTGCGGGTTAAAAATATATATATATATATTTTTTTTTTTTAATTAACCCTCTGTCAGGCTAGTTGCGTGCGCTTTATTAAACAAAAGTAAGCTATACATTT